GTCCCTCCTCCTCACCAAAGCCCCCCAGTCCACTCGCCCAACATTAACACCGTCCATAAACCCTTCATACGCATTCCTGAAGGTGGAGCCACATGACCTGGCTGCCTGTTGAAGGCCCCCGTACCAGAACAATCCTTAGCATACCCAACACCCATCTCCAACACACCAACATCAACACCGCCATCTCCCCGATCAGCACATCTCCCGATAAGGCCATATTCCAACACCCATCTCAACACCAGCCATCTCCTGATACCCAATCTCACAACAAAACCGCATTCTCCAACAGCCACCATCTCCAACCCGCCATCTCCATACCCCATCTCCACACCGCCATCTCCAACACCCACCATCTCCAACACCGCCATCTCCGTGACTACCATCTCCAACACCAGCCATCTCCAACGCCGCCATTCTCCAACAACCGCCATCTCCAACACCAGGCCGTCTCCGACACCACCATCATCCGACGACTACCCACCCGCCATCCCGACCACCATCCCCCACACCCCAATCTCCCCAAACGAACCGCATCCCCGACACCGCATCACCGACCCAAAGACCCACCACACCCACCTCTTAGACAACCCATCTGGGCTGACAACACTCCCACCTCAAGACCACCCATCTACCAAAAAAAAAAAAAAGCAATCCACTCCCTGACACCCTCCACCTTCCCCGATACTGCCCATCCTCACTGTTACCACCATCTCTGGCATTAATCCTCGTGCATTTGGAGCGGTCACCCCCAAACCAGAGCCAGAGAGCCTGTGAGTGTCCGTGCATCACGACTTGTCATGCACTAATGCTCGTTGCCATGTCCACGGATGACTTCTGCCGCCCTCACTCTCTGGGAATCAGTCGTCCTGCCGTGACTCCGAACCTTCCTCCTTGCCTGTCTTCTTACTGATTTGTTTCTGTCCATGTGCATGAGGCTTCTGTCTTATTCCCGGGTTATCATTCATTATCATTTATCCCAGTGCTCAAATCGTCCCACATGGACCCTCGGGAGCCCCTTTGGACAGTCCCCATGTCCCTGTAATGCACCTACTGGCCTCTGAGCCCACTCTCACTGTGCGGCGCACAGGCTCGGCCTCTGAGCCCACTCTCACTGGTGGACATTTGGTGTTGCAGGCTCGTCCCGTGCTCTCCCTGCCCAGCCCTCAGATGCGCCATTTCTTGGAGGAGTCCTGGTGCCTTTGAGTGGATGGTGATTTAGGCACCAGGTCTGTTCACCGCTGCCAGGGAACGGCGTTCCTGGACACGCACACTCTTCTCTTCTGTGTCTGTGTATCAAATCCACAAGTGCAGTGGGGCATGCCGGTGCACACCTGAGGTCCCAGCCGCTCGGGAGGCTGAGGCGGGATGATTGCTTGAGTCTGGGAGTTCAGAGCCACAGTGAACGTGAACTGTGCGTTCGTGAGCTATCCATTGCGGCCTGGGCAACAGAGCAAGACCCTGTTTCTAAAAAAATAAACTTTCATGAGTCCACTTTCCAGCTTCTTTTCCAGTCCAGCGCTGCTGGGCCCCCCGGCCGTCTCCCTTGCTGTCCTTTACCTCCCGTCTCCGACCGCCAGTGTTGGGTGACTACACTGTCGAGATGGGGAGCTGCTGTTTGAAGGCCCATGATCCTTGGAAAGGACGTCGTGAGGTCCTGGGAGGCCTCCCCCTCGTGCTGCAGTCACTCGGCAAACAATCGCCAGACCCGCGCTAGTGCTGGGGCACAAACGGGAAGGAGGGGGCTCTGCAGACCACGGGACTCTCAGCTCCCTCGTCACCACCCACACCCACGGGCTGGCCTCCCAAAACGTCCCCCATCTGCCTCTGGCCCCCCATCCCGATCATTCTTTCCACCCTGACCACCCTGGGGTTGGGGTGAGCCAGGCTTTGCATCGAAGCTGCGAGCCTGAGGCACAGTGGCCTGGTGGCCCTGGCATCTCCCGAGCCGTGAGGGGGGAACCCCGGAGCGTTTCAGTCTGGGATGCTGCCGGCCCCGCCTCTCTTGGGACTGTCGGGCAGGGGGCCAGGTGGGAGGGTGTGGCTGCCGAGCAGCGGGGTGAGCTGTGTCCTGCCAGGGGTTTTGTGGGTGGAGAAAGGAAAGCAGGGCTCCAGTGAGAAGATCTGAGAGCGGGAAGTGGGTCTCTCTGGAGGGGCACACTTGAAAGTGGCCGAGCCGTGGGGCTGCGTGCTGCGATCTCAACTCTGAGCGGGAGGCTCTGCCTGGGGGTCGTCCTTCAGGAAAAGCAAAGCAGGACCCCCCCACTTCCACCCGGGGCTTCCCTCTCCGCCCAGGGCCCGGCGTGCTTGGCGCTCCTGCTGTTTTCGTTTTTGAGGGGAGGCACTGCCTCTAACGCTGGTTTCCTTGTGCAGTGGCCGGGCCACCCTTCCCGCCGCCCTCCTCCCTTCACACATGGGGGTGGTGGCGGCGCCCTGGAAGCCCACGCTATCCGGGGGTTGAGCTGGATTTAGCTTTACCTTCTCTGGGGCAGGGGATACTGCTGTGAGGGTGCTGGGGGGTTTCCTGGTGGGGTTAGAGGGAGGAAGTGAGAATCGTGACGGGTGGTGGCCGAGCTGTCGGGGAGCCAGGGGGTTTCTTGATGGGGTTAGATGGGGGACGTGAGAATTGCAGCAGATGGTGGCCAGGCTGTGGCTGCTTGCTGAGGGCCCCCTTGTAGCTTTCCAGGCAGAGGGGAAGCCCACTCTTCCCGCACACACACTGTGAGGGCTGTGGGCGCCTCAGCCCTGTCAAAGCCACCCTGGTTCTGTCCCGATAGGAGGGCTCCCCGAGGACTTTCTGAACTCCCTGGAGAAGACGGAGGACGGCAAATTGAAGGTCACCCTCAAGTACCCCCATTACTTCCCCCTCCTGAAGAAATGCCACGTGCCCGAGACCAGGAGGAAAGTGGAGGAGGCCTTCAACTGCCGCTGCAAGGAGGTGAGAAGCCGCAGCCGGGGGCCCCAGGACAGCGGGTCTGGAGCTTGTGGGGCGCATCTGCCGCACGCCTGTGAGGTGCCTCCAGGCTTCGCACTTGGATGGCCTCCGGACCCCCCCGGCCAGGCCCAGTGGCTAGCAGAGGCCTCCCTGTGGGGCTCCGCTGCCCCCTGGAGGTGTCTGTGCTGGTCTCCGCCCAGACCCTGGGGCCACAGCTCAGGGCCCAGTTCATCCTTCCCAAGCTGAGCCTCCTGCTGCTGCTCTGAGCATCTGGCCACGGCACGTCTCGTCCTTCCCTTATCTGGAGCCGCCCCTCAGGTGTGTCAGCCCAGATCATTCCTTTTGTCTTAAATGATGGTGCCCGGACCTGAGCCTGGGTCCACAGGTGGGTTGTGACCAGGCCTTCTCGCTGTGACCGGTGTCAGACGGCCATTCCCACAGGGATGTGTGTAACTGTCCCTGACGCCATGGCGTGGTCAGTCAGGTGGCCTCTGCACATCTCCCGTTCGCTGTCTGGAACAGGCAGGAGCTCTAGTGGGCCTCCGTGGTCCCCTGACGACACCGTGTTGGTGCCCGTGTGGCTGGCGAAAGGGGGATACGCACCGATCTCTGCAAAGGGATGGGCAGGCACCGATCACTGCAGGGGGGTGGGGGACGGGCGGGCGCCCATCACTGTGGGGGATGGGCAGGCACCAATGGGGGGGATGGGTGGGCACTGATCACTGCAGAGGGGGGCTCTTCGCTGTTCGGGGACCGGGAGCTCGGCTGGCTCAGATGGGATGTGGCTGCCCTCTACAGGCTGGCTGTGAATTCACGTTGCTGTAAGCCTGAGTAGGCAGACCTGTGGGCTGGGCACACCTCGACTTTCCTAGTGCACCTTGGAAGGTCAACTGGGCAATCCCATCCTGGTCCCCAGGCTTGGGTCCTAGTGGCAGAGTGAGGGCCAGGCCAAGAGGGAGCACACGGGCGGGCTGCGTTCCAAGTCCCAGGGGATGTGCCGCCTCAGAGAGCTTGCTGCTGGTGGTTGGCCTGGCCCCCATTTGACTGGCTGCTCTGCACGCACCTGCCTGGTTACAGGTGGGTTTCCTGTGGACCCAGCACATGTGCTGGTGGGCCCATCTGTCCTGAACAGGCCTCTGTTTCTCCTTGCAAACACGTCGCATGGGTTTTATGCGTCGTCCCCCCGCCCCCACCGGCTTGGTTGGCAGTGCCAGTCCTCAGAAGTGAGGCCGTGTGCATGTCGTGTGCCAGTGGCGATGGGCAGAGCCCCTGAGACTGGGAACCAGGGCCTGGACATGGGGGGGTCCCCACATGCAGCAGTGATGCCCTGGAGGCTCCTCAGACAGGCCTTCGTCCCCACACCACGTTCCGTGTGAGGCCTTAGAGTCATTTGCACCCCTTCAGGTTCCAAAAAGGACTCGAGGGATTATAATGACACTTGTGGCATGACCAGAGAGTTGTGTAGTAACACAGGCAGAGGGGGCAGGGGCTAGAGATCAGGGGGAGCTGGATATGAGCCCCTGGCCCCCGGACAGGGCGTGCTGGCCCTGGAGGTGGAGGGAGTGGCGCCCCCGGGCGACAGTGTGGTGGTGTCGGTTGCAGGAGAACTGCGCCATCCTCAAGGAGCTGGTGACGCTGCGGGCCCAGAAGTCCCGCCTGCTGGGGTTCTGCACGCACGCCGACTATGTCCTGGAGATGAACATGGCCAAGACCAGCCAGACCGTGGCCACCTTCCTAGGTAGCCCGCCCTTCCTCCTCCACCGGGCTCCCTTGGGGGAAGGTTCTCAGGGTCACCCCAGGGGACAGTCGGGGCTACCCCTAGGTCCCTGTCCTTTCCCTCCATGAAGAGGGACTTCTGACGCCTGCCCTGGCTCCCTCACTCCCCTGGAGGGACCCTCACAGAACAGGGAAGTGCCCAGGCCCTGGAGTCAGTTCCATGCCTGCACGCGGCTCCGCCGCCCCTCACCCTGAGTGCGAGGCCCTCCCTTCTGAACGGGGAGGCTGACCAAGTCGCGGCCACGGCGGGCAAACCCAGGGCCATGAAGGAGCCCGCAGGGCGAGAGGCCCACCTTTCTGCCCTCCCCACAGATGAGCTGGCGCAGAAGCTGAAGCCCCTGGGGGAGCAGGAGCGGGCGGTGATTCTGGAGCTGAAGCACGCGGAGTGTGAGCGCCGGGGCCTGACCTTCGACGGCCGCATCCATGCCTGGGACATGCGCTACTACATGAACCAGGTGGAGGAGACGCGCTACCGCGTGGACCAGAACCTGCTCAAGGAGTACTTCCCCGTGCAGGTGGTCACGCAGGGGCTGCTGGGCATCTACCAGGAGCTCCTGGGGCTGGCCTTCCACCACGAGGAGGGCGCCAGCGCCTGGCACGAGGACGTGCGGCTCTACACCGCCAGGGACGCGGCCTCGGGGGAGGTGGTCGGCAAGTTCTACCTGGACCTGTACCCGCGGTGGGTGAGGGCAGTGGGGGCGGGGGGTGCACCCAGGCCCTGAGTCTCCTCAGAGCCCGGCGTTCCTGTCTGAGACGGGAAGGAAGTCGTTGCCTGCTCCACGGGGCCTCGGGGATGAACCCTGAGACATAGCAGCCGTGGGCACACCACAGGGGCCGAAAATGCGGCTGTCCCTGTTTCCACTCACTCGGCCACCCAGACAGGGCGCAGCTCTGCCCAGGCCGGAGTCTTTTAGGGGAGGAATGGCAGCCGGGGCCTGGCCGTGGTTTTCGTGCTGCCCTGTGCCAAGTCGCCTCTGCTGAGAGGGAGGTTCAGAACCTCAGAGGTGCCCGGCGTTCTCAGTTATCAGTCAGGTGGGCTGAGGGATGCGGAGTCAGGGACCTTGTGGTGTCTCTAGTCCCCATGGGACCTGACACCGCCTCCCTCCCCAGGGAAGGAAAGTACGGGCACGCGGCCTGCTTCGGCCTGCAGCCCGGCTGCCTGCGGCAGGACGGGAGCCGCCAGATCGCCATCGCGGCCATGGTGGCCAACTTCACCAAGCCCACAGCCGACACGCCCTCGCTGCTGCAGCACGACGAGGTGGAGACCTACTTCCATGAGTTTGGCCACGTGATGCACCAGCTCTGCTCCCAGGTGGGCGCGGGGCCTGGGCATGGGCAGGGGCAGGGGCAGGGGCTGCCTGTGGTCAGCAGGGTCCAAGCCCGAGGCTTCGGCTTCCGGCTCTCTCTGCGCCCGCCCGGTGGCTCCTTCATCCAGTGCCACCCAAAGATGGTGACTCCTTCTCATGCCCGTGTCCCGGGGCTGCCCCAGCAAAACACCACAGACCAGGGCTTACACAAAGGGCGTGTATTTCTTCGTGGTCCTGGAGACTGGAGTCGGAGGTGACGGTGTCAGCAGGGTTGGCTCCCTCCAGGTCCCTCCCTGGCCTGCAGACGCCACCGCCTCCCTGCATCCTCATGCGGGCGTCCTGTGTGGGTCCTCATCTCCTTACAGGGACCCCAGTCACGCTGGATCGGGGCCCGCCCAGCAACCTCACTTGACGTTAGACATCCTGTCTCTAAGTCGTCACATTCTGGCAGGGCGTGGTGGCCCACGCCTGTAATCCCGGCACTTAGGGAGGCCGAGGCGGGCAGATCACCTGAGGTCAGGAGCTCACGACCAGCCTGGCCAGCATGGTGCCAACTTGTTGCAAGCATCTTTCCTGGCACACAGTCAGCTGTTGCTCCTCAGAAAGGCTCTGTCCTGTGAAGTCGCTGAGAACCCTGAGAAGTGCATGCAGAGCCATCCCTCCGACCAGGGCTGGGTTCCCGGGAGCCTCTGGTCACGTGTTCGCCAACTGATCGTTCCAGAACCTTACCGTGTGTGTTTTGGGTTCAGGACGCCTAACTGCTGTGCAGCGCTGACGGGTTCACGTTGAACACATGGCCGGCAGCTCTGTCCCCCACACCTGGGCGCAGCTTGCACACACAGGGTGTCCCCAGGAGGCGCATCATGGCCTCCTGGTGCTGAGGGATACGAGACAGTGCTCTGCACGACACTTGGGACCTTTTAAACCCAAAATACAAACACCCTGCCCCCACTAGACTGAGAAAAGGATGCTTGCTCACAAAATAAGCTGAAGCGAGAAGACAGAGCGCAGCCCTGTCTGAGGAGCGTCTGAGGGGCTTCTGAGGAATGCCACAGTGCTGGCCTCGGGCGTCTCCGTGGGTCTTGGTAGGCGAGTTTGAAAACACGGAGTCCAGGAATGCGGATCAACCTTGTGTCCGCCTTTCCTGGCTTCCCCGCCACAGTGTTTGCACAGCACTCGCAGCCAGCACACGCGTGTGCATGTCCACACAGGTGCCTGCACCGGTGCCCACGCACGTGCCTGCAAGCCCGCTTTGCGTGCTGCTTTCTGCGTGTGCCTGGCGCCTGGCACGGCGAGTTCCTCGGTGCAGTCCGTCGGGACGAGGAGCGTGGCTGTGTGGTCCTTGGAACGGAAAAGCCTCGGTGTTGCAGAGGGGACCTTGAGGCTCACCCAGCGGTTCCCTGGCCCTCGGCTGCCAGCCACGCTTCCAGCAGGACTTGGTCAAGAGCTGTGCCTTTAGGGAAGGTTCCACACACTCACAAGCAGGGAGATGCAGCACGCCTCACAGCGTCCTGACCTGGACCTGGCCAAACCCACGTCCCAGCCCCTCTGGGGTGGAGAGCTTTCAGGGAGCAGCGGCTCTGTGGATGGGGGGAGGTGTGGGTGGCCTCCAGGAATAGGGCGTGTGGCCGGCATCTTCACGTGTGTCCTGCTGGCACAGGCAGCCAGCAGCAGCCCAGGGGCCTCGGGGTCCCGGTCGTTTTCCAGGTTCAGGGTGGGAGGGCCGGGCCCAGCACGTCACCTGCGCACCTGCCCCGTTTGCACTGTGGCAGCTGACACAGGCCAGGCTGGCAGGAAGGGGCCAGGCAGGGCCTGGGTATTCTGAGGCTCTGCCCCACCCCCGCAGGCGGAGTTCGCCATGTTCAGCGGGACCCACGTGGAACGGGACTTCGTGGAGGCGCCGTCGCAGATGCTGGAGAACTGGGTGTGGGAGAAGGAGCCGCTGCTGCGGATGTCTCGGCACTACCGCACGGGCAGCGCGGTGCCCCAGGAGCTCCTGGAGAAGCTCATTGAGTCCCGGCAGGCCAACACAGGTGCACCCGCCCGTCTGGGGAAGGGCGCTAACCTCGGCGGTGGTGGCACACAGCTGGGGCCTGGCATGTGCCCGGGGAGGCGGTCAGAGCTCTGGGCAGAGTGGGCTGCAGCAGGTGCAGAGGCCAGCTCCTTCCTCCCCCTCCACCCAGGCCTCTTCAACCTGCGTCAGATCGTCCTCGCCAAGGTGGACCAGGCCCTGCACACGCAGACGGACGCAGACCCCGCCGAGGAGTACGCGCGACTCTGCCAGGAGATCCTCGGGGTCCCGGCCACGCCAGGTAGCCACCTTGAGCCGGGCACACCCTGGAATTTGGGGCCTCGGCTGCTTCCCTGGGAAGGTGAAGGGAGTTGGTCCCCATGCTGCACTTAAGTGCAGGAGTCCCTGCTGGGGAGCCGCGGAGCACGTCCCAGGCTCCTCGGGGGACAGACCCAGCCGAGAGGCAGCTGCAGGCCCAGGGTGGAGGGCGGTGTGCGGCCCCAGCCCCCAGGAGGGGTGTGTGCCCTGGAGCCTTTGCTTCGAATGAAGCTGGCGTTTTCTTGATGCAAATGTATGACACATGCTTTGTAAAAAGCCCGGAGAAGTACAGGAAGGCCTAGGAGTATCCGATCCTGATGATGATAAGTGGGCCCTGTTTCCATCACACCTGTTGTCCTGTGTGCATGTGTGTTCATACACGCTTGCAAGGATCCAGAACTTGGAAATACAGCATGATTTTAACATGGGTGGTCTTTTGCTGGCTTAATGCTCCAAAGACTTTAAAACATCTTTCCACAAGCGTTTTCGGCAGCGTTGCCTGTGCTGTTGCATGGGCGTGCCTCGCTTTATTGACGCACTCTCATAATGGGGACGTTTGCTTTGTGGCAGCTGACAGCCCCATTAAATGAGCTCCTGTCGTTCCAGGAGAGGGGCAGAGACCTGTGGCCCTCGCTTTGTGGCTGGCTCTGGTTCTAGAAGTATCCAGCGCGTTCCAGCCCTCGCTGTGATCCTCCAGCTTCTCCCCATTCCGGGCGGGGGTCTCAGGAGTCTGGCTGGACGTCTTCTCCTGGGGGAGGAGCACGGGGTGGGGGCTACAGCGTGAACCCCGCCATGTGTCTGTCCCAGGAACCAACATGCCTGCAACCTTCGGCCACTTGGCGGGTGGCTACGATGCCCAGTACTACGGGTACCTGTGGAGCGAGGTGTATTCCATGGACATGTTCCACACGCGCTTCAAGCAGGAGGGCGTCCTCAACAGCAAGGTACGTGGGGACTAGGGACAGGGAGGGCGTCCTGAACAGCAAAGTACGTGGGGACCGGGGAGCGGGAAGGGCGCCCTGAACGGCAGGGTAGGTGGAGGTGGGGACGAGGAGGGCGTCCTGAGCGGCAGGGTGAGGGGGAGGCGGGGACAGGGAGGGTGTCCTGGACGGCGGGGTTGGGGGAGGCGGGGACGGGGAGGGCGTCCTGAGCGGCGGGGTGAGGGGGAGGCTGGGATGGGGAGGGCGTCCTGAACAGCGGGGTGAGGGGGAGGCTGGGATGGGGAGGGTGTCCTGAACGGTGGGGTGAGGAGGACCGGGAAGCGGGGAGGGCGTCCTGAGTGGCAGGGTGGGCCTGGGCCCGGGGTGCCGGATGAGCCATCCCAGCCGAGGCACCCTCTGGTCTTGGTGCGGTGCTGCCCACAGCTCCCCACTGGGCCCTGCAGGAAGCTCCACACTGTCCCCTCAGGCCTGGGGCTGTGAGTGCTGGGAGCTCCGTGTCTTCCCACACGAGTCCTTCCGGGATCTGCGTGATCGGCCTCAGAGCCATGGACTGAGACAGACCCTTCTCTGGGGAAGGCTGGCTTGGCGTTTGCCATTTAGTTGCTTCTCCAATCTCCAGTGTCCTCACTATGAAGTGAGGCCTTTACACCGTGTGAGCCTGTGCCTCCCGCTGACTTGGTGCGACCCAGGCTCAGGGCAGCCGCCAGAGTCCCTCACAAGGAACAGGTGGCTACCAGCTTTGAGGGCCGGCCCTGCCCTGTCTAGGTGCAACATTGCACTGGGCAGCCTGCAGGTACCTCGGGGCCACCAAACCCAGGCGCTCAGCTGCTCCCTTTACAGAGGTGCAGAGGCCAGGACCTGGGGGAGCAATGGTCCGACAAGCCCCCTGTCTTCATAGACCAGCAGGGACCTACCCCCCTCATGAGGCAGCCTCCAGCAGCTCCCCCTGCTGCTGAGATGGGGGGTCCCGCCTCTGAGGACCGGCCAGGGGCTGGGAGCTGGGACCGTGGCTGCCTGGCTCTGCAGCCTGCCATCCACGCAGGCGCCTGCGGGGCTCTGGGGCGTTGGGGTCTCCTTGGTGGCCGGCTCCGGCCGCCTTGCGGTCTCCTCCTTGCCTCACCTGCCCGTAGTCCCACCGTCACAGGGATAGGCTCGAACCCAGGCCTTTAGGGTGGCCCAGAGCGCAAGCTTCTCCCACCTTGTCTAGCCAGAGGCTCAGCCACTTCTGTTCATGGGCTCAGCCTGGGATTTTAGTGGGGGCTGATAGGGGGAGCCACCTCTGGAGTTTGGGGCTCTGCTGGCCCCTCAGTACGCACCCCTGCTCTGAGATTCTGATGAAAGGCACCTGCGCTCCGCCACCCGTGCTGATGCAGGCAGCCTGCAGGCCTCCCTGGGAGCCTGGAAGGGGTTGCTCCGAGGCCCCCTGGGCGAGGGTGTGCAGACTCCCGGGGTCCTTTGCCTTCCTCCCTGGGTTTCCACCTGGCCACAGTGCCCTGTCTCCTTGGCAGGTCGGCATGGATTACAGAAGCTGCATTCTGAGACCCGGCGGCTCCGAGGATGCCAGCGCCATGCTGAAGCGCTTCCTGGGCCGTGACCCCAAGCAGGACGCCTTCCTCCTGAGCAAGGGGCTGCAGGTCGGGGACTGCGAGCCGCAGGTCTGCTGAGGCCCGGCACTGCGACTGCCCAGACTGGCCCGCACTCCCGCCGCCCTGGTGCCTTAGCCCCTGGCCCAGGATGGGGCAGGCTCTGGCATAGTGCCCGGGACTGGCAGGGTGGCTGAGCGGCTGTCTCTTGTCTCTTGTCATTGTCTGTCCCCACCCGGTGGCCCACCCGGCTAGAGACGGCGTCCTCAAGACATCTGGAGGGCTCTCGTGGCTGCCAGGGCCTCGTCTTTGTTGCACTAACACGCCCCCTCCCTGGGAAACGTCCCTGGTCAGGAGATGGCTCGTCTTTGAAATGAAGTCATTAAAAGGAAACAGAAAAGGAGAGAGGCTGCCTGGCCTGGTCGCTGGCTCCTGTGCTTTTTTGTCCAAGGACGGCTGGATGCCGGGTCAGGGTCCAGCCCTCGGGCTCTTGCCACACCAGGCCCTGGAGTAGGGCTCAGGTCCTTGTGGGGGGCGGGGGGAATGAAGGCCCGGTGGCTGGGAGCCAGTTCCCAGCCAGGCCAGCCTGGGGGCTCTGAGACACTTCTGCTTTGTCATTCTGGAACTTTCCCTCCCATCCCTGCTCAGCTCTGGCCATCAGGGACCAGGCTCCGCTGGTCAGACAGTCTGGAAAGCCAGGGCAGCCGCTGTGCGCACAGGCAGCCGGGGCGGGGCTGGGGTCAGCAGCTGCCCACCCTCTCACCCACAGGGGAAGGCTGGGCTCACTCCGGCTTTGTAGGCAGAGTCTCTGGGGGTTCCTGTTGGACACAAGCGAACCGGGTGCACCAGGGCAGCTGCTGGAAGCTCAGCCACGGCCCTCGTCTCTCATGCCCCTGGGGACTGCCCGTGCCTGCCCTCCCTGGCGGCCCCACTCCCCTGCTGTGGGCAAAGTCTTGATCGGGGGTGCAGGGTCGAGGGGTCGCTTCCTGGACCCTCCCACGGTGCTCAGAGATGCCTCAGGGATAGCTGTCGGCTGTGTCCCCACCTCCCGAGCAGGACAGGCGGATGCTCCCCACCTCGTCAATCCCAGCGCTCTGATGTTTTCTCCCGTGACTGCGTTTCTCGGGAGCTCCCCTCGTGCCCTGGGAGCATTCCTCCCCAGTCTCAGTCCTCCACAAAGGCGGCTGGTCAGCAGAACCTGTGAGCCTGTTTCCCGAGGCCTGCGGGTGGCCAGACATCTGTCTCGTCCTCACCTCCATTTGGACGGGACTCCGAGGGTTGTGCCATCTGCTCCAGCCCCTCCTGTCCCATTCCCACCCAACCCCAGACCCATGTGGCTGTGGCTGCTCCCGTGGGGCCTGCTTTGCACCTTACACACACCTGGCTCCACTCCGTGCGCCTGCTTCTGTGTCTTTCCAACTCCGGGGGCTAAGGGCTGAGTCTTGTCTTCGCAGAGCTGGACGGCACAGCCTGTGGCCAGCAGGTTATGCCAGCGAGGCGGGAATTGGTAAGTGGGAACACCACAATGGTCGCATTTCAGATACAGCTCAGAACGGGTCCCGTAGCTTGCATCTGAAGCCCCAACTACTCAGGAGGCTAAGGCGGAAGGATTGCTTGAGCCCGGGAGGTCGAGGCCGGCCTGGGCAATGTAGCAAGACCCCATCTCTACAAAAAATAAGTTCGTTGGGTGTGGGGCCAGTGCCTATGGTCTCAGTTTTTTGGGAGGCTGAGGCAGGAAGATTGCTGGAGCCTAGGAGGTCGAGGCTGCAGTGAGCCATGATCCCACCACTGCACTGCAGCCTGGGCCTCAAAGCAAGACCGTCTCTAAAAGTAACAGTAGTAATAAAATACCTGGGGTTCAGAAAAGAGAAGCTGGAAGGCAAAGCCGACCACACCGGGCAGAGGTGGAGACGGCGAGTTTGGGGGCTCCCTAATATTCCCCTGCACCGAGCCCTCAGGTGGCCTCCACCTGGTCCCCAGCCAAGACCCAGTTGTGCAGGAGCACCCCAGCTGGGCCCTGGGCCATCACAGCCTTGCCACACACAGCCTGGCCTGTCACAGCAGAGCCTTGGGCTGCTGGGCCGTGGGCAAATGGCCCGGACCGTCCACACCCCGCTCCCCTGGAAGTCACCGACCGACCATGCTTAGACGTCAGTTGCGGGATGCCCCAAGCAGCCGCCCGCGGTGCTTCGCAAGCTGGGCCGCCTCCCCTAGCGTGTCCCCTGCTCTGTGGACACCCAGGGACGTGGAGGCGGCAGCCAGAGTCTCAGTCTGGGCCCCATTGCCCAGGGAGATGGCTGTCCTCAGAGCCTTCCCAAAATGCCCACACCGGGGGCACCCGATTTCCCCAAACAGTCCAGGACAGAGCAGGGGCTTTGATCACAGGGGTCCAGCCCCACGCCAGGAGCAGGGAGGGGCCGCAGAGCTGCTGTGTCTCCCGGCTCCTCTGCCCCATGCTCCCCACTCGGGGCTCCAGCAGCGGGCTCAGAGGACAGTGTGGCATTAGCATCCCCTGCCCGTCCGGGTTGTCACTGTCCTTGGCCCCTCGCGGCTCCCCAGTGGATAAAAAAGGGGAAAATAAAGAATTGTTAAAAAAATATATATATATAGAGAGAGAGAGAGAGAGAGGAACCTGTGTGTTTTGGGATCTTTGCAACATTTCTCTGTAAAATCGTTCTTTGGGTTTTTGACAAAACCTGAATGCAAAAGGGGTCTCCTCCCCGGTCACCCATCCAGCCCCCGTGGGCCGTCCCCAGGTGTCCCTGGCTCCTCGTCCCCACAGTCCTGTCCCTGCCTGTGCTGCCTCCAACACACACGCCCCAGGCTTTGTGCCCCTGGCTCCCTTTTGGTCCTTCACGAAGTATTTCTCCAACCAAGAAGCTGCTGGGATCCCTGTGGTTGGTGGCCCCGAGCAGCCCCACTCGTCTCGAGGAAGATACCAGTGCAGCCGCTGTAAGCAGGCTCCGTGCTGCGGGGTAGGCAGGCGCTGTCTCCCCATCCTCCTCCCCACAAGACTTGTGTTACTGTCCCCATGTCCCAAATGGGGTGTCTCAGGAGCAGAGCCAGCGTCCTCCCTCCTCTCCCCAATCAGCAACACTGGCTGAAGGCCACAGCCTCGAAAGGGACAGCCCACGTGGGGCCTCACTCTCCAGGGCTGTCCCTACTTCAAGGGACAAAATGGTTTGTGAAACTCAGTTCGATTCTGAGATTGATGGCCAGCTTGCGGAGGGCAGGAGGTCTGGGTTCAAGTCTCAAGGTAGACGGGGCCCAGGGGTGAGTTCCAGCGTGGGCTGGGGGCCAGGGAGCTGCCCGCGTGGCTCCCTGGGGAGCTGAGCTCCCCATGGCCATGCACTGAGCTTTTGGGCTTTTCCAGGCTGCACCAGGCCAGTGTGATGCTCTCCTCTTCAGACCCCAGACTACCCTTGGGTATTCTCTCTTGCCCCATCCTCAGCCCAGGAGGTCAGGGAGACGGAGCTCTGTCCCGGAGGCCATCCTGTGCTCCTGGCCACCTCTCATCGATGGTTTATGGATGGGCTAGTGACCTATTTTGGAGCAGCTACACCAGTGCAGCCCTCCAGTCTCACTTGGATTGAACTATTAGAGAATTTTATTTTTCCCTGAAATTGGGAGGAGGGAATGCTGTCGGCACATGGAGGTGCTTCGAGTGGGGCCTGCCAACCCGAGGGCGCTAGGGCTGTGACGAAGGCTACCCCACTACGTCGTCCAAGCACCTCCATCCCAGTTTACGCTGGGGTCCAGTCCTGCCCCTGAACTTGGCAGTTATGTGAGCCAATAAATTCCTAGTTAGTCTTTATTTTTTTATTGGCTGGGCACAGTGGCTCACACCTGTAGTCCCAGCACTTTGGGAGGCCGAGGCAGGCAGATCACTTGAGGCCAGGAGTTCAAGACCAGCCTGGCCAACATGATGAAACCCCCTCTCTACTAAAAGTACAAAAATATAGTCAGACGTGGTGGCCCATGCCTTAGTCGGTGTGAGAACTGACTAACGCGATTACTGAGACTATATTATGAACCTTCATAGTGTTAGAAATAAATTTTCGGTGCCACAAAAGAAACAGCCCTCGAACATTAATTTTCTCAGCACGGCAATTTTACTTCTATAGAAGCGTGCGTCTTGCAGATGGAGCAATGGTGAGAGCACATCTGAACAAGGGAGGGGAAGGGGTTCTTATCCCTGACACAGGTACCCCTACTGCTGTGTCATTCTCCTATTGGCTAGGGTTGGACCACACAGTCTAAGCTAATTCCGACTGGCTGTTTTAAAGAGAGCAGGGGTATGAGCCGGAGTGGAGGGGGGAGTAGTTTGGTGGGAAGGACGGCTAGAGAACAGGTGATTCAGGATGACTAAGAACAGCGCAGGTGACCAAGGATAACTAAGGTCAGAGCAGGTGACAAGGGTGACTAAGGTCAGAGCAGGTGATACAGGCTAGGAGGGAGTTGTTTACTGAAACTAGGGGCAAGGAGACGAAAAGAACAAGGAAATTAAAGTTTAAAATGCAGAACAAAGAACAGGGGAGCTGAACATACGGAAACATTGGTTCTTTGGAGAGGAGCTCAGAACTGATTGTACTTAACAATTTACGGGCTAAAACCTTTGAAGAGGAATTTATTATACCCTACAACAGTATATTAATTATAGTAGTTTTACTATTTTAATTTCTGATAACAATTAGTAGAATATTAAATAAATATTTAAACAATAATTTAATTTGGCTGGGCGCGGTGGCTCACACCTGTAATCCCAGAACTTTGGGAGGCCGAGGCGGGCAGATCACTGGAAGTCAGGAGTTCGAGACCAGCCTGGCCAACATGGTGAAACCGCATCGCTACCAAAAATATAAAAAATCAGCCGGGTGTGGTTGCGCACGCCTGCAATCCCAGCTACTTGGGAGGCTGAGGCAGGAGAATCGATTGAACCCGGGAGGCGGAGGTTGCAGTGACCTGAGATCACTCCATTGCACTCCAGCCTGGACGACAAGAGCGAAATTCAGCCTCAAAAACAAACAACAATTACTTAAGCAATCATTTTAATATGTAATGCATTATACGTTTATATAACTTGCTTAATAAATAATAATAGTTATTAATATCCAATGGCAAGCCGCCGGGAAACGACGGAGCTGGGATTTGAGGATTGGGTCCGCGAACCCCAGAACGCCCGGGGACTCCAGCCAGCCCCACAGGCTGGATCCGACAGCAGCAGGGGCATCGCGGTCCTGCGGAGACGCCGCCCGCCCGGAGGCGGCGCTGTGACCCAGATTGGAGCGCCGAGAGCCCAGCGCCGCGCTGCGGAGCTTGCTGGGACTTGTAGTTCGCAGGCTCGGGGTGCGCAGTCGCAGTGCCGAGTTTGCCTCTGCGCTCGTCGGGGTTGGCGGCGGCGGC